CCCCCCCCCCCCCCCCTCCGTGTAACATATTCCCACCCACCCATAATTTTTTGCCTCTCTTCCCCGTTGTAATTGTAGGGCGTATGTGCCATTATATATAGAGACAAACGGACCTGCTCTAACATGAATATGATGAAATGTGCATTATTCTTCTCTCAAGCTTGTCTTCTTTGTCTAGGCGTTACAATTTTCTTGATCGTTCGGGTTTTGTTTTTTGCAGTATCCCCTGTCTGAGGGCAGGGGTTTTTTTGGGGTTAGGAGAAGGGTTTGATTTCGGGCTTAATGGTGGCAAGTGTAGGTTCGGGTGTCATACTATGACACTCAAAAGGGGTGTCAAAAGAACGGTGGAGCAGATCAAAATAAGATAGTTATGTTTTGCATTGTTGCATAACAATGATACCTAAATAGTATATTGTGTGGGTGGTGCTAGAGGGACCCCGAGAGATGCACACCAAGACGATCATAGATACACGCACACGCATTCAAGTATTCAATGTTTGTGCGTGCACTGAAGGCTTTCAAACCAATCACTACTTTGGTCAAATGACTCAAATCTTGGTTGGAAAGAGTATTAAGTAATTCGCATCGTGATGAAAGTAGTGACTGCACTTTTGAACTAGTCACTACTTTGGTCAAATATGCTCCACTGACACTGAAGGTTTTATTGGAACTGATTCAAAAATGCATAGTGACTAAGGCCAAATATACTCGGCTCGTTCCATAATTAATACGGAGTACTATTGTCCCAGAAAAATTTTATTGCCTTGATTTTTTGTAAAACTATGACTTTTTTTAACCACAAATTGTGAACTTAATAATAATGCGAATAGATTATATCAACCTCAAAAGTACCCGTAGTACAAAATAGAAAACCTTGATGCAAGATCACTTTTAAGAATAAATTTGAGCATTTAATATAAAAAACTATAGCAAACCTGAAGGTGGATATAGCAACACTATTATTTTTACGTGACTTTTTGGCCCATACTCATTTTATAAATTTGGAACTAAAAATGATTCTTTTGCAAAAAAAATTGAAGATCTACGCTTACTCCGTATGTATCTTCATTAAACTATCGTAACTATCTTCTCTAATTTGATTCTTCTAAATATAAGTTCATATATATAATTTCTCAATATTAAATCTCATATATTTTGAATTTCATTATTAATCAATTACTGTATCTTAAAATAAAAAATCAAATTATTTTGTAATAAAATATGGAGTATGTATTATAAAAGTAATAAATAAATTAACTACAATCGTGAATAACTAAATCAATGGATTAATGGATGAAAATTGTTGTAAGCATTTTTTTTAAATAGAGTATTTAATATCAGATGATACGAGGATGATATGAATGAAAGAGGATGATTGGATGAATAAAGTTTAGAGAATAAATTAACTACAAGCACGATCGTGAATAACTGTTTATCTAACAGTTACGTAGTTGTCAAAGGCGAATAATGTCGAGAGAATAAGACCCGAATTCGATTCCGTTTAAGAGCATCAACAATGGCGTGAGAAATGTTTACCATGGTTGACACATATTTTATTTTATCAAATACTCAATGAAAATATACAAATAAACAAAAATTAAGAGAAAAAATAGATTTTATCCATTTCGGTTTTTTATTACTGAATCTAACAGCACAGTTATGAACACAGTGACACCGCCACAGAAGGCGGCGATTGACTATATGCGCTAACGGAGGAGCGACTGTGATGGTGTGAAAATAGCATTTTACCCGGAGAAAGAAGAAAAAGCAAAGAACTCATTGTAAGACACCGGGCGGCGGACACAGCTGAGCACGACGGCGTTTGAAGAATGTCGGGAGGCGGCATTTTCCGGCAGTCTCGAGGGCGATTAGCGTTTCCAAATCCATTTCAATTTGGGGCGCTTTTGGTGATGCTCCTACCCAATTTCTTCCCCGCCCTCTTCTCCCCGCTTGGCCGGACTTACACTTCTTTATTTTCCGTATGCCTTTCTCTCCCTCTCTCCAGCTTAATCATAATCTAAGATTGCTTTGAATTGTCGATCTTTCAGTAGTTTTCAATTTACAGACTCAAGCAATTCGTTTTGGAAAAATCATGGAAAATCCACTTTTGGGTTATTTTATTTCTTCTTCTAGTAACTTGGCATAGAACACAGTTCATAATTTGTTTAGAGAATGCCAAAAAGATCACATATTTAAACTTTCATTTGGCTGCTTAGAGTATATTCCTTTTTTTACCATCACTGGGCTGCTCAGTATGAACTGTATGGTAATTTTGTTGGCGTATAGGTTGTTATTCAAGTGGACTTTTTCCTTTGTGTCTGGAGAACTATGTTTTGTGCAGATTGATTGGCTAGTTTGCCCCTTCTGTTAAAATGCTTACAACTTGGATCTCTTTCTTGTACAAGTCTTTCAGGGAACATGTGGATGAGTGTGTTTATGAAAGCATACAGTGTTGGCTTTAGAGGTTCCTAAAACAAATCTGACTTTAGCAGTATTTTGCTTAGAGTTTTGTTGTTGTTGTTGGCTATTTGTAAAACCAAACAATTGATGATAGAAGTTCATTTCTTGTTTGGATTTTTCCATCTATTAAGCACAATGTGAAGATCTGGAGATAGAGTGCTTGTAGTTTGGAACTTTGGATATTAAATGATTCATTCATATACTTGGAGTGTGTGTGGGGAGCACTCTTGGAAACATCCTATCTACACCATGGGGTAGGTTTAATGTTTGTGTTCAACTTGCCCTCTTAGACAGTAGACTCTTGTATGGAATATACTGGGTTTGTTTGGTTGGCTTGGTATTCATATACTGAGTGTATATTTCCTAAAAATGTTATATACATTTATTCACATTGCAGTCTTTTAAGTGGAGGGTTTAATCTAATGCAGTAGCTCCATGCAACTGTAGGAATGGAATGCTCCAAAGCCTGTGCACTTGAATTTACTTAATGCAGCACTGCAACAACATCCATCTGTCAGTAGATTTTTTTTATTTTTTATTTGTTTTCTTTTTTTTGTTTTTTACAGCCAATAGGCATGGATTTTTTTATAAAAAAAAATTCATAAATTCTATTGATGAATATGTATATACTGACTTACTATCCATGAAGTCCAATGAACAAGAATCTGATCCGTGGTCTCCCTTACCAAACCAAGGACGGAAACCATGTGTTACACAAAGTAACCACTGTGAGTATATTCAAGTGTATGTTAATCACATATCTTGTTTTTGGTTTTGCATTTGCAACCCATGGGAGCGTCCTCCTAACTCTGGTCTAGTTGAACCTTATATATAGTTTTGCCGAGGAAGTCTCGCGGATATCTACAAGTGTTTCTTGATGGAGGCTTGAACCAACAAAGAATGGGGGTATGCAACTTTGATTTTTGGCATCGCAAGAATTCATGTCTTGAGCTGCTTGACCTCACGAACATTTCTCCTTCTGGTGTCTGTAGATTTGTGATGCAGTAGCCGTGGCAAAAATTTTAAATGCAACCCTCATAATTCCATACCTTGATATCAATCCTGTATGGCAGGACACAAGGTCAGGAATGCCTCCATTTTCAATTTTGATTTATGATTTTTTAAAGCCTATATAATGAATGATCATTATTAATTTTCGAATACATCTTTCTCCTTGTAGTGCATTTGAGGATATATTTGATATCAATCATTTTATCCAAGCGTTGAAGGATGATGTCTCCGTAGTTAAAGAGCTTCCGAGTGATTTTTCATGGAGCACTAGGGAGTACTATGCAACAGGCATACGGGAAACTAGAATTAAGACAGCACCAGTCCATGCTTCTGGTACTTGGTATCTGGAAAATGTTTTGCCAGCAATGCAGAGGTCCGTTAATGAATGTCATTTTCAATATCTAAACTTAATTTAGGAATTTGTGTTCTCATTTTATTTTTTACTAAAGATTACTAAATATATGGTTGTGTGTGTGTGTGTGGGGGGGGGGGGGGGGGTAAAACCCAACCATATTTGGCTGCCTCAAAAATAAGGGATCTTTTCTTTATTGAATCAAATTGCTAGATGCGGGTATAGTCCCTGCTAATTGAATAGTGTTTGCCCAAGCCCTAAAGAAAGAACCGTATGTCTAAATGTGAACTTCATCATTTCTGTATATTCTAGATTTGGGATTGTTGCTGTAGCTCCGTTCTCTCATCGCTTAGCTTTCGATGGCCTGCCTTCTGATGTCCAGCACCTGCGTTGCAAAGTCAACTTTTTGGCACTGGTTTATGTTCCACATATCAGAACATTAGGAGATTTACTCGCCAGCCGATTGAGAAGCAACCCTTCTAACATGGATGGGACATCAACTTCCATATCCCGAAGGGACAATTACAAACCAGGAGTTGGAAAATACGTCGTTTTGCATTTACGTTTTGACAAAGTATGACTCTTGTACCTTGCTCACATCTTATTTCTCAACCAGAAAGTACAAAGGTAGATAAAGGTCATACTACCTCCGTCCCGCTATATTTGTCCACATTTGACTTTTGGAACTGTTCATCTAAGCACTTTGACTCATCAAATTCTCTCAATGTGTAAGCCTAAATATAGTCATGTGTGATCTTGTTTGATTTATCTTAACATATAGATTATTAATATATAATTTCTATAATTTTTTAATATACAAATTACAAGATAAAATGGATTAAAGAAGTGCATGGGATGGTGTGTAAAAATGAAAGTGGACAAATACTCTGGAACGGAGGGAGTATTAATTAATTGTGGATGTGAACATGCACATCTTCACTTAGCTAGATTTTACAGGAGAAGCTTAAATATGATGTTTTTTTTCTTGTGTTAGTGTATTCAGCCCTTGTAAAATTTTCTTAGTGCTATTTATGTTTTTAATAGAAGCTGTTTTTAGTCATTCCTTGTCAACCTCTGTTAATAAGAAAAATGATATGGTTCACAAAATTCTAAACTTTAGTCTGGCCATTCCACGCAAACTTTTTCTAACTCATCAGTGACTATTATTGGAATCAGGGCTTAGGGAAACACTAAAACTTATCATTCCACTTTCAATATATGGTTCTCTCTGAAAATTAAATATTTAAATGTAGCGGGGGAAGGCCAGAGTGGATCTATGAGCCACGTCAATGTTTTTTTATGTAGATGGGAAGATGAAAAACTGTTAATTCACGTCATAATTACTACAAAACATTTAGCCTATGAGCATTAAGTGTGTATAAAATTGACTATTTCGAATACAAGTATAACCAAATTGTCTGTGTGCTCTTACTCTGTGCTACTGTGTTTGTATTTGAGCCGGGGCCTCTTGGAAACGGTCTGTCTACTTTATTGTAGGGGTATGGTGTGCGCGTACAATCAACCCCCCCCCCAGGCCCTAGTGTTGTGGGATTCTACTGGGTTTGTTGTCGAGTATAACTGAATCCAAAGGCTTTCTTATAAAGATGAGTATTCAGAGTTAAGTACAAGTTTTTGGTTTCATGATTTTGTTGGATCCATCCTTGAACAGGATATGGCAGCTCACTCTGCTTGTGATTTTGGTGGAGGTAAAGTTGAGAAGCTTGCTCTTGCAAAATACCGCCAGTTGATTTGGCAGGGAAGGGTTGTCAAGTCTCAATTCGCTGATGAGGAATTAAGAAACCAAGGGCGTTGTCCATTGACTCCCGAAGAAATTGGACTCCTTTTGGCTGCTTTAGGTTTCAACAACAGTACGCGCCTTTATCTTGCTTCCCACAAGGTTGTTTGGTAGCATAAGTAGCTTTAATGGCTGTCACCAAATGCTTACCAATGGGCATCTAGATGTGTATATGTGCTTTTAACAGGAGTCTCTCTTTTCTTGTTTTCTGTTCTGCCAGGTTTATGGGGGAGAAGCAAGGCTCTCGGCGCTTCGCCAAATGTTCCCACTAATGGAGGATAAAAGGAGCCTAGCATCTTCAGAGGAATTGGCTATGGTTGAAGGAAAGGCCTCTTTATCAGCTGCTGTGGATTATCATGTGAGCATGCAGAGCGATATCTTCATCTCTGCTTCTCCTGGAAACATGCACAATGCACTGGTAAGAATGTAGTAGTTCATAAATATTCACTAGCAGTTGGTCCCTTAGGCCTCGTTTGGATAGACAAACGTTTAAGAACCTTTATATATAAAAAAAACATAGGTGGGACATCGCGCGTTTAAGAACCTGAAGACCATAAGACCAAACATGAGACTTGTTGGGAAGCTGTTCCAGAACAAGAGCATGGGATGGTCGGAGTTCCGGGAAGCAGTGGTGCGGGGTCACAAGAACAGACAAGGGCAACTCCAATTCCGCAAACAAAACCAGTCGATTTATACTTATCCTGCCCCCGATTGCCTCTGTCCAGCTGCTGCTGCTGCTTAAACAAACAAGCATTCCCATTGAGGTTTTGATTTCCTCTGGTTTGGTTTGAGTTTGTTTTTCATTTGAAATCAACAATGTTTTTATATTTTCTTTTTTGGGCATTCACACCAGCCTAGATGATATTTTTATGGTGCTTTTGTGATAGTAATGGTTATTTTCTATTGATGCTATGTAATGAAAGAATGGAGTACAATGCCTAACTATTGAAAACCATCAAATATAGTGGTGCTTTTAAATTTATTTATTGGTTCGGTTAAATTCCAGCTTCTTTGGAACATTTTTTTAATTTAAAGTACATTAAATATGATAGAAATTGCCTTCTTTTATTTTTATTTTTATTTTTTCCAATTAGACACTTTTTAGAAAAAAATAATAAATTTAGAATAGGCTATTTTTATGATACATTGGCCCTGAGAAGTGGAAGCATTATACGAGAAGCTCGTTCATCCACTGGGTTGACCACCACCGCTGCCCCCTACAACCTCCTACAGCCACCGTTCCATCCACCTCGATGGTGTTCGATAAGAAAAGTAAGCATCATTGTGTTTCTAAAGTAAACTTCATAGTTTTACTTGACAAAGTTTAAGTGTTGAAAATTACTTGACGGCATTCTTTTCTTTAAACAAAAATAAAGTGAAATTAATTTTTTGACGGATGGTAAAAAAGAAGTATGAAATTTATTTTGGACACAAGTACTAATGCATTCATTAAAAATAAGGTAAAAACAATGGGAAGGTTATGCAAAGATTCAATCTTTGCAGGAAGAAAAAAAAAGAGACTGAGTTTGCTTACTTTAAGAGAACCAAACATACACAATACTCAGTGCAATTAGCCCATGCTAAAATTAAGTAATTTCATATATCCCCAGGAATAATAAAATTATGGTCAACAAGCAGGGAGGAGGCAGAAGCATTTGTTCTCCCTTCCCCTTTATTTATACAGCTTTTTTACAGCAGCGTTTGGTATATAAAGTTCATCTGTCTGTGTTGTAATAAGTAAAAACATCTCGATAACTAATGCCGTAACATATCGTATAAGAATTCATTCTACACTTTTAAAAAATCAAAATCAAAAGAGGGTTGAGAAACAATTTCCAGTTCTAATAGAAGAAAAAAGAAGAGGAGATAAAAGGTATAAAGACACTGGCTTTGTGTCTCGGTTCTGGACGGTTGATGAACCTTGGTAGCCAAAAGGGAAATAGATGATCGAATGTCCAATTCATGCCGACACCAACAAGGTCTTGGAGCAATTGTAAAGAATTGAAGACTTCACCAGACATCCCTGAGATATCTCCCGTTCATTTGGAGATTCTTCACCGTGGCCTCTGCTTCAGACGAGCCTACGTTTTCCTGAGTTAAAGAACAAATAGGAAAGCCGTCCGTTACAAAGAAGCCGATGGGTAGAATCTGAAGGAGCTTTCTAAATTGAGTTGTTCATCCATGGTTCTAAGGTCCACATGTGAAATGTGGACCTTCTCACACTTTTCATTGGCTGGTACGTGGATTTTTTTCTTTTTTTTTTTGTAAAAGGCGCAATTCTTTTATGATATGAATGCACTAAGGTCCATAAAATTAACATGGACCTTAGGACCACGTAAGAATTAGTCCTAGGGGTGGGAGCTGATAATAGCAAGTCAGCAAAAATGTGACAGTAGAAAACCTGCTCCTGGACAATGGTATGTAGTGTGCGATGAACATCTCTAGCCATTCCTTTGGCATCCCCGCATACATATAGATATCCCCCATTGGAGATCAAACTCCATACTTGGGATGCCTGCAGACAAATAGAAAGAAAGAGTGGGGAGAATGTGTGATTCATCTCAAGAGAGAAACTCAAGATTAATTGCAACCAAAAGGCTAAAAATAAAATAAAATCGTACTCGTTCACTGATCTTGTGTTGAACATATTCTTTCTGTGGCCCTTCCCTAGAAAATGCAACAATTAGCTCTGAGATTGTGCCTTGCGCTTCAAAATGTTTGAGTTCCTCCTCATAAATGAAATCCTATATCCAAATATCAAGTCAATGTATATTGCAGTAGAATACCACTTGTTTATGTATTTTAGTTTGCAACTATGAAGATGATAAATAGACAGTTTACCATTCTTCTATTTCTACAACCAAAAAACAGCAGAGCCTGACCAAGTTGAGCACCATTTTCCTTTAGGGCAGCTCTTTCCTGATGACCAAATAGACCCCCATTAGGTTTGTCTAAAAACAACAAAGGCAGAATGAAATTGATTGCAAATTTGCAGTACCTGGAGAAATCCTCTAAATGGCGCCAAACCTGTACCGGGTCCCACCATGACAATTGGGATTGAAGGATCAGCTGGTAATTTGAAATTTGATGACCGAATGTAAATGGGAGCTGAACTGCAGTCATTGTGTTTTTCCAAAGGAGTCGCGTTCTGAAAAAATGGAGCATCACTATGTTAATGAAACAAGATAAAAGTAGCAGATACAGTTTTGATAGCTACCACTCCATGAGTCCATGGGTGGGTACTTTTTTATATAAATATAAATTAAATTAGCACAGGTTTTATTGCAAACATATATAAACTTGAGAATGATAATAAACATTTGATCTTGAAACTAACAATAGATATTCAATCCTCATGGATGGATATTTCTTTGTGGTATGGGTACCCACCCATCACCCCCCCCACCCCACACACATGTGGTTTGTTTTTCACCAAAACAGGAGTTTAGATTTTTCTGGCACCTTCATCCATGTTGAACATACTCCTTTGTGAATCCGGCCAGTAGGAGTTGGACCATGAACTAAAGCACATGTTACATGGACTCTATGTGGAGCGAATCTGCAAGTCAAAATACAATATCCAAAATGTTGATCGACGATGAAGGGAGTGGACTTCATGTGAAGAAGTCCTTTAATATATTATTCAGAAAAAATACAAGACTCACTTGGGGGAAGAAGAGATAGAATAATAGCGAGGCTGTAAGCGAGGGGAAACTGCAGCAAAAAATACACCAAGGGGGGGTCTTGCTGAAGGAAACTCTGCCATAACCTCAAGGAGACTTCTTTGACTAGCAACAACCCATTGTGAATATTCATCCTAAAAGAAAATAATAGAAGTCATAGTACATAATTATGTTATTGTTTTTTGATGAATGCATAAGTTTTATTTTACTTCACTGATGTTCTGGTTATGGAGCAGAGATGGCCATAATCTTAGAAGTAAAAAAAGAATACCTTGCCCTGAGGCGATGCCAAAAATCTAAGCCTTTCTGCTTCATTAGGTTCAGCAGCATGACTAGCTAATGCAACCAATGTAGCCTGAAAATGCAAATCATTTGTACTAAAACCCCAAAAAACTCAAAAATAAACTATATAGTTATATATGTAGATGTACAGTAAAACTTTATAATTGCATATAGCTGGTGTACCTTTCTAGGAGGATTCAACAGATCTGCATATCGTGCTAGTGCTTCTCTAAGGGTGCAAGGACCAGGGAAAGGTGGCGGCAAGGACCCTCCAAGTGGCGCACCATCTTCTTTGTCAGCATGGATAGAAAAAAGTAAATCTAGAGGTTGACCCAACAGCTTTGCTGCTTCCTCAACAGTGTCTTCATAATTTTCGGCATAAACACCCACGTGGTCTCCTGTTTCGTATCTGGGAAATTAGCAAATAAAAATGAGGAAAGGTTCTAATAAGGTTGTGTACCATTGCAGTGAATGTGGAGAACATTTAATAATATGCATAATAGCAGTTCACGCAGAAAAATAAACTAATACAACTCCAATAATTGTTTATGAAGTAACAAGCATAGTTATAGCTATAAAAGTAAGCCATACGGAAAAAATGATAATTATCATTAGGGCAACCCGACCATAGAAAAACCAAATAATTTTTAATGCTTAGACGAACAAATTAGCTGACAAGATAACATTTCGAAACTTGCTGTTTTACTTCAATGAAATACAAAAGGCATGTTCTAAACACAACCCCAGGCACAACTAGATCTAACTTGCCTTTGCTTAGAGTCCAGCCAAGCAATGACCATTAGCCTATTATTCAAAATTTTATTTTATACTTCATCCCGAATTAAACTTCGGTATTTGAATTTGCAGACTGCAGAGTTTGAGAAAAGTGTTGAAAAATAAAAAGTGAATTTTGGGAGCCACATATTTTATTCCCAAAAGGCAAAAACAAAAAAGTGTGAAGTTTATTTTGGGACAACCAAAAAGGAAAGTGTGAAGTTTATTTTAGAACGGAGGGAAAACAAAGTATTACTCCATAGTTTATTGTGTTAGTTGGAATAGTTAGTTTTTATAATTGATTTGGCAGTGGCTAAAATCCAGTATAAAGTAGAGCAGGTTTGCAAAGCACACTCTTGAGAAAGTAAGAAACTAGTTTGCGTGATCGAACCATCTCACTGATTGCTTAAACAATTAAATGAACTTACACTATGCCAGTGCCAGAAATATCAAATTCTAAGTGTATGCATGAACGATCCGACTCAGGCGTATGAAGCTCTCTTTGAACAGCAACGTTAACTCTGTACAGGAAAAGCAATTAAATACATTCAACAAAACACTAACAAAAGCAAATAAAGCATAGATGATCTAGCACCCACTTGCACGGATGATGCACATCATAGACAGTGTTTCCATTAGCCATACTGGTATGCTTATCCTCGTGAGTTCTAGTGGAAGGATCATGAACCACCACACGATATTCAAGAACTGTAGCAGTGTACGGTGTAGATGCAGAATTTACATCATCCTCGTCCTTAAGTATTTTGTCCAAGTCCGGCCATAATAGTTCTCGCCTTGTAACATGAATTCATTAACATATTAAAACTTTCAGGAATACACCCAACAATATATATACTTCCTTTTGGTGACATCCCAAAACAAGGTCTCATTTTCTTGTAAGGAAATATTTGTGAGGCTCAAATAATTTCTCCCTCCTTTTCATAAATTCCAACCACACAATTTCATTTTTTTCATGAACTCCGTGAGAAAGTAAAAGAAAACTTCCTTTGGGGTAGAGGGAGTAATATATTTTCATCAATTATGTTATTTAAATTATTTAAATAAATAATTATATGGTTGCATGAAAGATATAACATTTCAAAAACATCAAAACCTTAAGTTTCTGAGGGATTTAGACTTTTAAAGAGAACTCACCAGGCAGCAAAGTCATCTTCAATGCTCTGATCATCATCACCAAGGCCAAGTGGAACAATGCGCTTTGCACCTGAGAGGTTAGCCTTGTTAGTGCAGCATTAAAATAAAAAGTAACTGGATCACAAACTTTCTACTACCACTGTCCTTAACAAAACTTCCCACTCTTTCATTTTGTCCATCTCAAAATTAGATTCCATTCCTTATACAAACAAGAATTGCCTGGCTGATATTTCTCTCCTAAATTCTTAATTAAGTCTCAACCACACGACTTCATCTTCTTAATAAGGCATGTAACAATAAAATGGGAATCCTGGGTACCGATAAATTAATCATTTCCATGAACAAAGAATAGATCCATATATAACGTGATCATTCTAGGAATAAAAAATAAGTTAGGAGTCATTGAGTTGACCAAGTACGGGAATATTGGAGAAAAAGGTGGGATTAAGGCCCACAATGTATTTGTAAGACAGTAATCACAAAATAAATCCAGCAATATCCCAACCCTAACATGAATAAAAAGAGAGAAATCAAATGATATATAAATTTTAAATTGTATACACACCTTGTTCACTTAGCTTTTCATCTAAGACCTTGCCAATCTGATCCAAACATACCAATCATCAGAAATACACAATTGACATATCAAACAGATAGAGGCTAGACAGTATTATTTTACCTTATTAAAATGCTCATATTGGCGGTTTCCTAGACCAAATATGCCATAAGTGAGTTGTTGAAGCCAAGGACCCCGTTCTTCTCCCTTAAAATTAAAACCATATTACAAACACAAGGTCATGCTTAGGGGCCATTAAAGTAGAGCTTATCTGAACTGATAATAAGTACTGAATAATAATAAAAATAATAATAATAATAACATCAAAAATAATAATAATAGTAACAACAACACTAACTTGAATAAAAATTAATAATGATAAAATAAATAGTAGTGATATTATTATTATTATTATTATTATTATGATCAATAATAATATTAACGTTAATATTAATGCCGAAATGAACAATACTGAACTTAACTAGATTGAACTTAATTGTACTGAGCTGAACTTATAGGTACTAAAGTAAAACTGATATGACTAAACTTAATACTGAACTGAATTGATCTTAACTGAGGTGAATGATACCGAATTGAACAGTACTGAAATTAAGTGGTATTGAGGTGCCCTCTAAATGTGTTTCATGATAACCAAAATAAGCTATTAGTTGGAGCAACCACCTACCTCGGTAAACCATTTGTAAAACCTTGCAGCATTATCAGTTGGCTCTCCATCCCCATATCTGTTGATTCAGGATCAAAATGTAAGAATATGATATCCTATAATCTGCTAGATTTCAGAGCAGTAGAAGGTCAAATCCTGAACAAATGTTAGAGCAGTGATGTTTCTTACGTTGCAACCATAAAAAATGTTAATGTCTCTTTCTTCAATTTCTCTTCATATTTATCATCGTCTGCAGCATAATCATCCTGGCACAGATCCCCCCCAAAAATGGAATTAGACAACTGAATTTCTGGGAGCAGCCAAAAAGGTTCTATTTCACTTACCAAGTCAACAACTTTCACAACTGCCTTCTTCTCATACCTTACCCTGATCTCCTCAGCCAAAGCCTGAAAGATAAATTATGTAAGAAATATGCTGGAGAACACAAACAGATTAATTTAATGTCAAAATAATTGGTCCATGATATAGAAAAGCTCCTTTTCCAAGATCTCATCCTAATCTGTATAGAAAAAGAACAATACAAGCTCGTGAGCTTCAGGAGCAGCTGCACTAATTTCAAAATCAAAACTTCGAATTAATTTGGATTCCAATATCACTAAGCTAGATCATGACCGCATTGAAACAAATGCAATCAAGCACAGAAAGCGAAGTAGATTGTAGTTCAATACCTTAGCAAACCCCTCAGCTGTTCCGGTCTGTGTACCAAAAAACACTGTGACCTTAACTTTGCCAGGGTCAACGACGTCCTCCTCCTCAGCCTCGGCCTCCACGGCCTTGTGGACGACCGCAGTTTTCACCTCCTTGCTCCGATCGCCGGATCTCTTCCACACAAATACGAGCAACCCAATGACGACGGCTAACGACGTCGTCAGCAACACCGCCACTGTCTCATTCCCTATCGACACTCCCAACGCCGACTCAATCGATCTCACCAGCTCCGAGGACGACTCCATATCCTCTTTCTATCTATTTCTCTGTACCTGTCTCCCCCTTAATATACGGGATTCGTTTGGTAGTAGTTGGCAGGTAGGTCCAAAGCAGAATTATTCACCTCCTGATTTCTCCCTTGCTCCGCTTGAAGTCCCTAGATTTCAGGAAAAATGTTTCCTCAAACCAGAAACATCGGAGCGCCGCTTGATGTAGGCGGAGGATGCCGGATCGATGCGGCGGAGCAGGGGAGGAGACGAGAAGTAGCGGACAAACTGATGTCCAGGAGGCTATAGCCCGCAAATAAAGTTTCCTTTTTTCTTTCAGGACAAACGTGAATTTGAAAAAATAAAAAAGTTTTACCGTATATATACGGAGTATTCAAAATCTTAAAAAATGTAAAAATGGAAAATGGTAAAGGCTGCTCCCTCCATTCCTCCAATTAATTAATGTATCTTGAAAACCACAAAATTTGATTAATTTCCTTCTTTAAATGTTCTCTCTGTCCTAACAAAATGTTATAATTTGATTTTTTTAAATATTGCATTTGTTCTAAAACTATTTTTCTAATTATTACTCCCATGTTCAAACGTACTTACTTTGTTTATTTTATTAGATACTCCCTCCGTCCGGAAATGATCTTTCCATTTGACTTTTCATGGTCAAAGTTTGTAAATTTTGATTACGATATGTGGAAAAAATACATTGTATTATGATATAAATTTAATATCAATACAATTATATTGAAATGTAGTTTTGGAATATCAAGTTATTATAAAATATATCTATGTATAAATATAGATATTAATGGTCACATGCAATATTGGAGACCGTGAAAGATCAAATGGAAAGAATATTTCTGGACGGAGGGAGTATTTGATAAAATTATATAGTCATGTCACCTCTGATTTGTAAAACTTTTGATGTAATTTTTAAATATATAAAATTTATTTTTAAATTTTATACTCATAACCAAATAAGTTGAATTAAAAATGAAATTGATCAAACTTCGTAAACTGAAACAAAAAGTTAATTTTAGAACGAAGAGGGTAAATAATAGTATATGTTGGAAAAAAATTTAAATATAAAAAAATTATAACAAATTTTTTATAAAACAAAATGTAACATCACTATGTTACCGGATCGGAGTATTTAATTTTAACAAAGGATAAATGAACAATAAGTCAAGAAATAAGAAAAAAATTGACTTGTGTATAATTATGTGCATCAACTGCACTACAAAAATTGGGGGTACTTTTGTCTTCTCTTCGTGTCTATAAACTTTGTTCTCATTTAACCTTAGTATCATGAGTGTGATAAATTTAACATTAATATTAAAAGTGTGATGGGATTAAACAAAAATGAAGAACTCATAGACTTAAACGGTTTAAGTGATAACCTTAAAAAATCTGTTTAAATTTTGAATGCATGTGGAGTAAACTAATTTGTACTCCTTCCGTTTATGAGTATTTTGTTCATTTTTGAATTTTTTTATTAAAATTAATGAATTTTAATTTTAAATTAAATAAAAATTATATTAAATATTGACATAAAAATAATTTTATTAGTTTTATTATATCAAATATTTTAAAAATATTATTTTATCTAATTAATATACAATATTTATTTTATTTAATTATAAGTCAAAGGTTACGGACGGAGTACATTTTAATGTTGCACGGAGTATAAGGATCTTTGCCATACGTTGTCCGGCCATTACGGACGGAGTATTTTATTTTAAAAAGTCTCAAGATTCATTAATCAAAAACGAGTTGTTTATTAATTTCCCATAATTGTTAGGTAAATATAATTAAAATGGGGGGTTGACATGGTTGGTGGATTCATTAATGGTTTTGCCAATGAGACGTAGCCGCCCGGTAGGTGAACCACCTTTCTATTTATTTCTATTTATGTTGTCTCAAAAAATATACTCATGTTTTAATGTTTCATAAATAAATAATTCTCACTTTGGTTTTATGGAATTTAAGAAATATGTTGGAAAAGTATTTCCCCTGATCCTACGAAAATTTCAGTTGTTGTTATAAAGTCAACATAAAATATAAAAAATATTAAATGATTTAAGTTTTAGTTTCTTACTTACTTTATTACGGAGTATACAACAATAATCAAACTGCATCCCAGTATCCCACAAAACTAGCCCCTAGAGAAGGTGTGGTGGAGATCATGAACCTATAATACTTTAATTTCTTAATTATACTATTTTTTATAATATAGTTTATTTTCAAATATTGTTTTTAATTTTTTAAATAAGTATAATGCCTTTTCATTTAGCAAAAGTACTTTAAATTAACGATGTGATGTGAATTACTCTTTTTGCTTGTCTAAAAATAAAATGTGTTTCAACAATGAAGTTACTATTGTAAACAAATAAAATGTGAAAAAACATTGTCTAACTCGTAAATGTCATATGATAAATATATACAATAACATTGTGCATCCAAATTTATTATATATAACCAATCATATATAGACAAATAAAGAAGAATTCTTTTTTTATCTAAATCCGAGTACACGAACATTTTTTTGGTGAATTTTTTATTTTTATAATGTAGTGCTTTAATTATTATTATTATTATTGAAATAGAATGAGTATCCCCCTACCCCGTCATTTTAGATACGCACAACTTGTAATTATTTTAGTATATAAAGTGTATTGTAAGATTAATTTTAGTAGTCGAGATAACGTTGATTGTTTATGAGAGCTTTTTTCAATTTAAAATAATATTAATGTCTTTATCTACTATTTTATTTAAACGCGAGTTAGTGGCATACAATCTAATAAAAGAAAAAACTACATTATTGATATCAATGTAAAAATGTGTGAGAAGAAGTAATAATGGGTGCCTTTTTTTGAATTGGAATAGTTGACACCTTAAATTTCCCAACACTAACATTAGTTTGAAGGAAAACTTTCAAAAATATGACACTTTTCTGTTTAGTTTTTTTTTCTTTTTAAATACACAGTCATTATATTCATGAATTGTGAAAATATTATAGTCAATATAGAATATTTTATCAAAATACAAAGAGTTAGTTATAAATTAATAAATTTATTTCTTTTGACGTTGTAGCCAAGTTTGAATATTAATTTGCATGTGTACCTTAGATCTTCTCGCACCATTTCTCTTAGTTTTAACTTTTTGTATTATCCATGCACATAGATTTCCATTGCCACATATCTTCCCATGCATCCACACATTGTCTTCTTTCTCCATCTCTCATATCGAATAACATTCCATGAAGTTTCAATGTATAATTACGTACATAAAAAAAGAAAGTGGCTCTTCTTTCATCCAAATGTTCTTATTCTCGTGTATAAATATAGTGAATTATTACACAATATAAGTTTATAAATGCTAAGTTATAGTATAACTTATTTCAATTAAAATAGTAAGTCAAATTTAAAAGATGAAGTGCACGGGTTAAATTAAAATTTTCTAATTTATTTGATTTAAATATTTGACCATTTAAAAAACAATCTATTCATTTCATGGTTTATATAATGCGAATTGAAGGGGATTTTTTACTCTAACAAATAGGTTTAAGGTTAATGTGCATGTCTTTGATGCTTCTAGCCACACTTCTTTTATTCTTTGGGGCAGAGAGTGCAAAGAGATTTTAGGTGCAAGTGTCTATCTTCTTAGAGAGATGATGTTTGAGGTATCTAAAACCTATTAGTCTCTTATTCAGTTTACTGAAATCTTAACAAAAGGCATATTCGAACTAATGGCTTCTAATTTCTTGACTGGCAGAGAAAAATGGACCCAAATTTGTTTCCAACGGAGCTCAATCATTTTATTGGGCAAAAGAGTTTGTTTAACATGGTCTTGAAGTTAGAAGGCGGGAGTCCTCGCTAGAATGGTCATATATGTCTTTTGGTGTTCGATCTTTCATTTCATATCTCAGAATTCTCAAGATGTATGAATATGTAATCAAGACTGTCGATGAAGGCTCCAAAGAAGATGCAAGGGCACACATTTTGTATGGGGCTTACAACGAGATTGAGGTGGGGGATGCAGGGGCGGGAGTTTTAGGAGTGGGTTAGGGGGGGTAGGAACTGTCAATTTTACAAACGAAGCACCGGAAATATCCTAAATGACAGTGATATTGCTAGTGTCACCAAACGTGGGTGTCACTAGAATCCAACTGTTTTTTATATGTTAGTTATACTCTTGAATGAGTATTCAATTACTCAAAAGGTGTATTATATAAATTATACGGAGTATTACTTTCAAACAAATATTCAGTTAATCAAGAAATGAGTATTCAAAGAGATGTACTTGAAATTTCAAACATCTGGATGTATGATATAATTATTTAGGTTTGACTCCAATGCGTGTCCATTTCATCATGCCCGCCTCACGCTGCCTCCACCGTGCCGCCATGCACCATTCTTGTGATGTGAGTCGGGTGTAGCGTAGCCCTTTTGTGGCGATGGCCATCTAGTGGTGACAAGCTTATTTGATTTTTTTAACCAATTAAAATAATTAAATTTTAAACACTTTTTTGTGTCATAGAGTCATTAACATATATTCTCTCCATCCTTTAATGTTTTTCTTGTTTGTGTTTACGAGGTTTGACTGACTTTATTTTCAATTCAATTTATTTGATTGTAGGTGTAAAATTAAAAAATAAAATTTATATGTTTAAAAATTATATCAAAAGTTCTACAAAATAAGTGGTGACATTATATTATTATTTTATCAAATACTTAATTAAAATAGGTAAGGAAAGTGATTAAAGTTTGACAGTGTGAAAAGTAATTCAGAAAACATTTCAGAAGAAAAGGGAGTTTTTTTGTAGGAAGTCTGCATCTACTTGGCCGTGACTAATCTGTCTTCCATTGATTTCTCTTCGAATCAAATTGATTTATCAGCTATTGATTTGTATCATGAATTCATGATTATCAATATATATGCAATCTACTCAGATGTAAAGGCATTTATGGTATGTTTGGGAACATGGATTTGGATTTCAAATCCGGATTTGGCTTAAATTCCATGTTTGGGAAACTTAAGTATTTTGAATTTGGATTTGAATCAAATTCTTTACATTCAAAACCAAGTTTAATTTAAAATCCATGCACCTCCCCTTGTCATTTGAAATTCAGAATTTCAAATTTTGGATTTGAAATGCATGAATTAAAATGAAATGCTAGTTGCCAAACACTACCTTAGTATTCATAAACTCCCAAAATAGATAGATAAACCATATATGCAGCAGAGACTTATCACAGAACCATTCTAGCTCCGATTCCTGGCAGACTCCATTCAATCTTCAAAGAAAACCAGCCGAGGTCTAGATCGTGAAGTCTAAAACCCTAGGAAAAGCTTCTGGTTGCACCAGAGCCAGTCGATTCAATAACGGTGATGAATTTTGCCGCCAGTTAAAGACGTTTGCTTCGAATAATCATCTCTGTGATTCGTGTGAACCGGTTCCCCTTCTTCATTTTGTTCTTATCCTTCCTGAGAAACGAGAGTGAAATGTGATGAGAGGCTGGAGTATCAATTTGCACGCTCTATTGAATTTTCATATCTTGATCGTGTTATCATCTCTCTAAGGGTAGCATGAACATTGTCAAAGGTGTTGCTGACCTTTTACGGAAGGGATCAAGTAGCTATGGGGGTGACAATAGGTCGGGGTCATCACTGGAGAGATTCTCTCCTCCATCTCCAATAATTCGGTTTAGGTAATAATACGTCCAATTGTTTTACAGCTCTTTAGTTGAATGCTGTGCTTCTATAGCACACTCCAGTGTTCATTATCCACTATTTGGAACTGATTACATTCACACTTACCTTCATTCATTCAACCTGAAGTCTATGAGTTTAAGTCACTTTTGGACCACTCTCACTTGTTGATTTCCCCCCTTTACAGTGACATCGGTGACGAGTCAATTCTAAATGCACTTTGGGGAAGATACGAGAATGTCACCGACAAGGTGTGTGAAAAGATGTTTTTCTTGACTGTTGTTATAACTTCAATAGGTTATGTCTTGGGGTATGGAACTGTTTGAATTGGATTTGTTATTTTTCCAAATTTGAATTTATGCAGCACAAAAATGTGAACTCAAATGTCTTTGTTATAAGAATTGAGTCCTTCCCTAAAAGCTCAACTTTAATAGGAGTAGTAGTCCAAAGTCTTTAGCTTGGGTTGTATTTTGTACGTGACTTGCAGGAGATGACTTAACTTGTTCACAAGATGGTGACATGTTGAAATTCACCAATTTTGAAGTTCATACGCTACTTGTATAGGCTTACAAGAATCATATTATTTGTTACTACATTAAGACCTGAGGCTACATCCTGAAAGGTTAACTGCGGAGTGGAGTACACCATTTTAGAAACACGTGTGTTTTCTGAGTCTTAGTTGGATAGATTGCTCATTTGAGCTTATCATTCTTTAACAACATATTAATACTTGGGGTTCCAAGTGTCTTCGTAATAATAGTTACATTCTAGACTCTTCTCAAATTAAGCATCAATTTATGTGAGGCAAGGTTTTGCCACTCTCAATGCTGACAAGATTGTGTTAACTAGTCTACTTGCCAACTCCTATATACGAACCTGTTATCACCATGCTTTCTCGGCCCGCATCATTCAGAAATAACACGTGGTTTGAACTAAGTATGTAATGAATTACATATGAAAACTTGTTTTTTGGTTAAATATCATACCGAAGTTAAAACAAGACACAATACATCAATTCTTTGATGATCATATTTTCCCAATTGAGGTATTCCAATTGTACCAAATAGCAAAGTGGTGGATCTGTGGTTTGTGGTGTGGTCTTCTATTTTCTGTCCTTTTCCCCTCAAAATAGCTATAAATGCATGTAATTGATGTAAAGAAGAGTCCACATATGCCATTTGTCATGCTTTGTTAGATTGCTGATTTTGAGATGTATTACCTTTATCATCTTTCCAGATATTATTTGATGCTATACTACTTTTTATAACTGATGTGCATGTAGGGTTTTTATATCATTAAAGTATCTAACATGTTCATTGTAACAAATAGTACTACTTATAAATTAAGATGCTCTTGTAAAAAGCCATATTCCAGTAAAGAGTTAATATAAATAATTGGAATTACGCGTCTAGTTTCAACAAACTAAAACCTTTTTAATCCATATGTCATTTGTTAGCCTTTGTTTGCTTCAAAAAAAGGAGAGAGAGGGGAGGAGAAATGAGGGGTACAGATAAAATTTGAAGAGTATAAAAAGATTTTATGTTGGAGAGGAGAATTCTATATAAAAATATTGTATCTGGCATATAATTCATGTTGTAATTAAAAATACAGTAATCTATAAAAAGTGCTGGGAGGTCAATCCCACACCGAAAAAGAAACAACAAGGTGCCCAATATATAATTTCCATGGTCTCTCATCCTTGTCGCCAATTGGTTTTAGGATGGAACCCCCATGGGCTTGTATGTTGGGCCTATCGCGAACCGGCGGCCGGTGTGTGTCCCCCAGGCCATGTTTGGCCCACAGAACTTTATTATGGTATCGGAGCTTGTTCGGTCTCGGTTTGAACTTCTGGTCTATTGGGTTGGCCGATCACAAGGCAAAAAAAAAAAACTTCAAGGGCAACATGCAAAATTGCGGGGCCAAGCAGTTGCACTTGGGGGGGGGGGTGTTGGGAGTTCCATCCCACACCGAAAAAGAAACAACAAGGTGCCCAATATATAAGTTCCATGGTCTCTCCTTCAATCGCCAATTGGTTTTATGATGGAACCCCCATGGGCTTGTATGTTGGGCCTATTGCGCAAACGCACACGAACCGGCGTGTGTCGCCCACACTATGTTTGGCCCACTGGACTCTTATAAAAAAGGGCAGCCCGGTGCACAAAGCGTTCTCGCGAGCAGGGGTCCATGGAAGGGTCCCACCACAACGTATAATGTTGGCAAACCTTACACTGCATTTCTGCAAGAGGCTGCTTTAAGTACTTGAACTCGAGATCGCACGATCACATGGAAACAAATCAACTGTTGCCCCAGTAAAAAGATAACAATGTTGAACAATTTTGACAAAAATAATAAGAATGTTGAACAAATTTAACAAAAAAAGGTTAACAAGAAATTAAGGAAAAAACCAAACTCCAAAAACCCTAAATTGGGTGTGTGAGATATGATGAGTTTGTAGAAGTATATAGTTCGTCACCCCTCCCTTTTCGAGCTCCCTTAACCAAACACAAAAGACTCCTCCACTTTGCTCATCTAGCCTCTTTTCTCCAAAGTCTTTCTCCAAGCAAGGACTTGTGTTGTCCGTAGTGTACCTCAGCTCATCCTCACTCAGCTACTTTTACATTAGCATCTAACATTCTATGTCATTCTATGACTTAGTAGCTCATCAGCTATGTGTTTATTTGTAGCTCTAAGTTATTGTGCAACTATATTTAGGCAGCGTTCTGTTCAAAATTACTTATTCTTGTTATAACAGACCAGATCAGAAACAACTTTAATTATAAATGCAATCAGACCAAACCAGATCAGATTAGATCACACCAGATCAGATCAGATCTTCAAAAAATCTGATCAGGCGCATGGAACGCAGCTTAGTTCCAATTTTTTGGTCTATAGTTCAACTATATCAATCATTTTATTTTAAATCATATTATTCCTCAATTATTAGCTTGCAAAATGGATACATGAAGATTTCTTAAAATGTCTTCATATTATTAATTTTCCACCTTAGAACACTCATAAATTGTTTGAATAAATTTCAGGGGGAAAAGAAGAGGTCATTTCAAATTTTCTTGAAGCAATTCCTAGTTGTATTTCAAAATTGGGAGCCGGTTAGTATTGAGCTATCTCGAGATGTTGTTAATTCTGCATCTACCTCGGAGGTTGCAAAACAAGGCCCTGATGTTGTACTTGGCTGCACATTTGGTCATCCTGCTGAAATAGTTCTATGTTTAACTGAAGATCTTGCACAAATAACCAGCATTATCAATGAATGTAAGTTGGAATGTTGGATTTATAGTTTATGGAACTCTGTGCGTGATTTTTACATATAAATCTGGAAATCTTGCTGGTGGTAACACCTTGCCTCTCCTGGTTTTTTATTGGACTTCCACTATTTTTACATACTATCTTAGTGGTTTTCCTGTATTTGGAAGGAATGTGTAGGGTTTTTTTGATAAACAGGAAGTTTTACATCCCTACAATTCTACAAATTGACTTTGCTAGGTTGAGTTTTCCAAAAAAGAAAAAAAGAAAAGACAAACCGGACATAGCCTTTATCCACCAAGGAATGTGTGGGTAATATTGGACTAAGTTATGCACGGACTAATATGTTCTGGCCGCAAAAGTTTTAGATGTGTGATTGTGAGTAATTTGTGGAAGTTGCATCACTGTGGTTGTTTCTGCTCAATTGGTCTTTTGATACTGTAATCATTATTTGTTTAACAAGTCCCCTACAATAATATGATTAACTCCATAATAATGCGGTTGAGCGCAGACCAGTTAGGAGCTTTGTCTACCATAACATCTGAAGGTATTCCCGTGTTGGATGCTTTGACTGTTGTGGTCCGTTCATTGCACAATTGCCGACTTTTTGGATACTATGGCGGGATCCAAAAGATTACTGCATTAATGAAGGGTACAACTTTTTTCTCGCTTTTTGTTTAACTATTTCATTGGTTGTATTGTTATTGTTGTATGTTTGTCTCAAGGGGGTGATTTGATCTCTTCTTATTGCAGAGCTAATCCATCCCTGATCTTTCTTACTAGTTTTTACATGCTCATAATTATTTTCCTTTCCATTTGAACTTTTATATCCTGAAAATCTAAAAAAAGACTGAGGTTATTGAGTATTACTAATTTTCAGCCACAGTTGTGCAACTCAAGACCATTGCTAGTGCACTTTCAACAGATGGAAATTTGTCAAACGATGTTGTGGAGAGGACTGCAATTTTTCAAAATGTTCTAGTACGTGCTGTCTCTATAATAGGCAGCTTTATTAATTTGCACTCAAACATATATAAGGCTCATCTAAACAGCAGTCACTTGGAGTTTTTTGTCTCAAGGGGCAGTATGGAAACAACTGATCATTCCACAGATGTGAATGGTTCTCTCACTGAAGAATTGTTGCTGTGGCATAAAAAGGCAGTTGTGTCAGTAATGGAAGCAGGTGGCCTTAATTGGTTAGTAGGTAAGGTAGGCGGCTTCTTTTGTTTTTCTTCTCCAATTTTTAAGGACATGTACGTAGTACATAATTTAAATAACTCAAATTATAATAATATTTATTGAACAAGAAGTATTCTTCAAACATAACATTTTGGTCTCATTTATGTTTGATCAAGGTCATTGATAGTTTACTGCTCTTAAGATCTATGTTCATTTATTTCTTTCTTGTGGTCCTTGGCTCCTTGAATTGCAAAAACAGTTTAACATGTAACTTTGGTCTCTGTATACTTTAGAAAGCTGAAGATGCAAAACGTTCCAAATATGAAACACATCAGGACACAACTTTCACCTGATTTCGTTAGGCCACCATTGCACTTTTTGCTCAAAAACACGGTTGGCAAGTAACGCTAGCCATCCCGCAAATGCTCTTTCAATTCCTCCTTAAACCTGGAATTGATTGAAAAATTTCTTTCTTCAAGTTTAGTTATGAGTTCCCTAAAAAATTGCCTAACATGAGTACATGACAACAATTACAGTAGGTCTCTTCACTTTCCATAGGCTCGTGAAACAGACAAATACTCTGTTGTCACTCATTTTTTTTTACTTCGAATGATTCTCGATTCTTGTGATTATCTGTTGAGTCATCAAGTGCTTTCCTTAAAGCACATATAATCTCTGATCAAACTAACCGACTATGGATGTGCCATTTATAGTGGAATTGTACCCATCATCAATGGCTATTTCAAACGACAATGGCTTCGCTGATGCATCACTATCAGCTTTCATTGTATTTTTAATTCTGAGAATGGGTTGATATGTGAATGGATTTGGGTTGAGAGAAACAAGAAAGAAGCTGCACACAAAACAAAAAAGCTTCAATGGGCTAACATTTTCAAGACTCTCAATTTGCAAGCATTGGTTGTCTTCGACATGCCGAAAGGAGTGCAAATCAGAGTCTTTGGCCACCTTCACAATCTTTTTGTTAATTCCAAATCTGGTTGTGACAATGCAGATTCACACTCTTCATGGCGAGCAAGAGAGGACCAATGTTTGGGAATTGATGCGTGTGTGTGTGGGGAGGCTGGTCTTGAAGATGTTAGCCATCTGAAGCCTTCTCGTATTGTATGCAAATTGTCCTCCTATGTTGCTCCCAACCCAAATTCATTCCCGTAGGATCATGCCACTCTCTAAAGGTAAGGTGACGGCAATGCATCTTTTAAGCCATTATGGATGGAATTAACTTATGATGAGTCAAATTCCACTCTAAATAACACATTCATAGTTTTGAATTTGTTACAGAGATGAAATCTGCTTTGAGGAAATCACTTTGTTGATGGTTACTCATAAGGACCAAGAATCACTGAAGGCAAATGATAAAGTGATAGTAAAGTTACAAGAGTATAAGTTATAACAATAAGTTAGGAACGAAAAAAGTCTTTGTCTACTTCACAAGCCTAGTGGGATTGTGGAAGACAAGACGCATGGGGAATGCTGTCATGTTAGGGTGTTATATCTGGGCCCGGCCCTATCCTACCCTCCCCCATGTCCCACACTCCCATGGGAACCAAAGGACTTAGGTTCAAACATTATGATCCATTTTAGTAAGAATTCAAAGTCCTTTAATCCGGAAGGCCAAATAACTTTCGTTTTTGACCTCGGGGTTCCGCTGGCCAATCCTCTTTCCGTCCAACTCAACCCCAAATATCCAAAAGTATTTTATTTCCTTTTGATATCCAAAATAAAGTTCTTCCTACTCTTATTTTAGCCCAGGACCGAAAATAAGAGTGTAAACCAAAACCTTTTTGTTTGTTGTTATTTTCCTTCTTTTAAGCCTTTTAATAAACAAGTAGAACCTTCCCTTCCTTCCTTTTATTTCCTGGCCAATTAAAACACACAATCCCAACATAAACACCCACAAAAAGCCAAAACCCTTCCCCACCACTAGCCATACATTCCTGCCCATGTTTTTCCTCACAATAACCCAAAGCCATAACTCCAAAATACCCACAAATAATACCCAGTCCTGTCCCCTTTTAATGACCAAAAACAACCCTCCATTCTTACCCAAATAATACCCACAAAACCCAGGAAAACAACCACTACAATCCTAAAACCCAAAACCCCACAATCCCCAGCCCCATCCCTGATTTTATCCCACTAAGGAGACAGGTTTGAATGAAGAATGCCCCATGCTTTGAGAGAGGATGCTGCTAGGAAGCTTCCTCATGTTCACATTCATTGCATTGTGTATTATTTCCCCTTTCCCCTGCCTATATAACTCAGGCCTTATGGCCATTGTAACACAACCCTTTGAATATTAAAACATTTTACTCTTTGAGTATTTTTAAAATAGTGTGATGCTATTTTAGCCAAATTCCTAATTCTATATCTTAAGAGTGGTTATCTTAAGTGTGAGTTTTAGGTTCTAGATATTTGATTAAGTGTGTCATATCTTAATTAAATTCTAGATTCAAACCCCAAGTTAGGATAAGAGTGTGTTATATCTCTTANATATTACTCTTTTCTTCCATTAAAAATACCCAAAAGAACTCCCTCATCAGCCCCATATATTTCCAACCCATTCCCCGTAAAAACGCCTTTATTCCTGTCCAGAATCACTGCCAAACAATCGATTATCACTCCCCACAATCGATTATCAGTTCCATTAGAAACATCTGCAGGTAGTAATAATCGATTATCCATTTAAGATAATCGACTATCACTCATTCCCAGAAAATCTGCAGCCTTCCATAATCGATTATCACTTCTTGTAAATCGATTGTTTATTTCTCATAAACTTCTGAAGCTCCTCCTGAGAAACTGAATCACTTGACAATCGATTATCCTACTTGGACAATCGATTATCATACATCAAGGGAAACTCCTGCAGTCCTATATAATCGATTATCACCATACTGATAATCGACTATTAACCCATCCAGCAAAAGAAGGAGCTTGTTCCTTAAATCCGAGCTTAATACCGTTACACTCGGAGCTGAGATATAACATAGGGTCATTTTGAGGGACTAGGAGTTAAAATTTATGAAAGGGAAATGTTGATGCATTCTAGGTTTAAGGAGGAATCAAACAACTTTTGAGGGATGATACAATGGTGTCTGCATGCCAAGTCTGTTCATGAGCAAAAAGTTCATTGGCGGCGTCGATGAAATCCGGTTCAATCCCCAAAAGTATTTTTAAAATTTCAAGATCTTGCCATCACAATGTGTTGTAATAACTGTTGCTTCAGCTGTAGTATTCCTTTAACGCCATGTCGCGTGATAACAATATTGTCGATATAAACAAGGTAAATATATACTCTTGTATACAAGTACAGAGCTGCCCTCCAACTACCAATCTAGGTTTGAACAGGATCATCTAACACAGGCTCTCTAAGTTTAAACACAAAGTCCTAAACAAAGTTCTAACTTGAAGTCCTAATTAAAGCTCTAACACCTTGAGTCTTATGGTCTTACCTGAACACAATTATATGTACTCCCTATGTCCGAAAATAATCGTGTCTTTACAGATAACAAGGTTTGACTGAATTTATTTTTAATCCAATTTATTTAAATAATTGTACAAATTTTAAAATAAAATTAATATGTTAAAAAAGTACATCAAAATAATCAACAAATATAAGTAAAGAGAGAAGAAAAAGTTTGACCCGTGAATAGTGGAGTGAGAGTATTATTTTGGGACAGAGGGAGTATTTCTCAACAGAGAATGTTTGCTATGCCACCAAATTCACTCGTACCATATTTATTCAGGAAACTACTCGTGCGCACAATTCTCTGTGTGTGTGTGTGTGGGGGGGGGATCACTATCATTTTAATTGCAATAAACCACTGGCTCTTTCAGTACCATCTTTGGGTACTTAATGACAATAGATAGTAGAGTGAGTGTTTGGTAGAGTATAACATTGTGGACTTGACAAATGGCAATTTGAAGACTTAATCTGTTATGTAACAGTAGGGATCCACTCTTGTTTAATTCTTTTGGTTGAATACTTGAATAACTTAATTGATTTCAGAGCTGTTGCGTGTCATGAGGAGGTTGAATATGAAAGAACAGCAAACAGATATTTTACTACAAAGGTTAGTTCTTGAAACTCTTCTATCAGCGCTATCTGATAATCCTCGGGGTCAGAACCATTTTCGAAGTATTGGCGGCCTTGAAGCTCTTCTGGATGGGCTGGGAGTTGTATCAAACAATGCTTTGTTACCAGATGATTTCTCAAGTTCTGGCGTTACTAGGTAAGGAAACATTCTATTTATAACCGTGAGTTTTCACATAGGTCATTGGTTGATTTCCATAATTACGGACTAGTACCACATGTATATTTCAATCTCTCTTCTCTATTTGTACATCTTGTATATAATTTATGCATTGTTTTCTTGCAGGAATAATAACTTCCTAACAGATGTTTTCCACCTCCATGTTCTTCTATTGGAGGTACTTAGGGAGGCTGTGTATCCTTTTTTTCCTCTTCCTCTTAGAAATGCTTGAAGTCAACGAGGAATTCTTGGGTGCAACCATTAGAAGTCTTCTTACACCCACAGTTGTATTCAAAATGATTGATTTAACCCTTCAACATGCAGCTATTATCTGTTAACGCCCCTTTAATTGAGATATTTAGCTGTAAAGATGAATTTATAAACATCAATTCACTTCATTTTTATGCTTTTCCATTCCATTTAAACAGTGCAAAGGATCACTGATACCCTTAACCCAATGTAGCTTTGGAAATTTAAACAACATGCAGTTCCTATCAGAGAATGGAAGGGTGCACAAGTTTGCAAATAGCTTTTGTTCACTTGCATTCACACTTCAAAAAATCAAAATGGATGATGATGAACAACCAGACGATTTCGATGACAGTAGTACAATCTCTACTAAAGATGAAGGGAAAATGGATGCATCCACAGTTCGAGTCAAGCTATCTCATTTGTATAGTTGGAAAAATTATGTTGCCAAGTTGAGCACTGTTCTTTTTTCTTTTCTGCTTGCGTCAGGAGATAGTAAACCATATAAGTTTCAATCAACTCAAAGAAGTAACCTGCTACTGTCCTCAGCTTATGTCGAACTTTCTGTAAAGTGGGTCATTAGAGTGCTTCTTATAGTTTTTCCATGCATAAAAGCTTGCTCTAATGAAAAGGAGCTGCCCAACCATTTAAGGTAAATCAAGGAGAGTGGGATCCTTTTATTTTCTCTACCTAAATTTATTGATATCTGCTGATTCTTAATGGCATAAGTTTGCATTGATAGAGGCTATCGTTTGCATCCATAAACTTTGCCAATTGCTTTTTCCTTTGTGTTATTGATTGCTACTTGCTAGTCTTTTTTCCCTTTCCCATCTCTAGTCTTACTAATAGCTGATTTGTACAGGGTTTTCATCTATGTGCTTCAGCGTTGTGTTCTCTCTGCATTCAAGAAGACACTGACTTTTTCATCGTCCCTAGTTGACATATTCCGAGCCGAAGGAGCCTGGGACTTCCTCTTCTCCGAAAACTTTTTTTATTTTGAGCCTCCATCCGGGGAATTTTCTGGTCATCATGGTTCCAGCTACGAAATTTCATTGGCCATCAATGAACAAAGGCATGCTTCAAATTGCTCTCGTAGTCCTATAAGTCTTAATGAAGCTGAAGCTATTCAGAGAGAAGTGATTTCATTCATGGAATTTGTGGCAACTTCAATTGGAAGTTCACACAACTTGGTTCGTTTTTTCGAATTCTCCTTCTCTCTCTCTCTCTATCTCTCTCTAAGTCTAATTAAATCTCAGGTTTGCGGAGCAGAAGCTAACACACCCATACACACGCTATCATGCCACACATTCCCACAAAGCAGCTAAAGCAAGAATATAATGATTCTATTAAAAAATGTTACTCCATATAATGCATATATTCTGAACGTAATAAACATGCCTATATAGTTACATAGGTACATTATAGGCTGCATCACGAGCTCGGGCTACAATATGATTATGCTAGTGTTATCTACAATATGGAGTAGGAAACAAGCATTGGAGTGATGACTTTATGCAACTTTGTAGGGCACCCAATTCGGCATGTAAATCTGTTTGTGTAATACCAAAGTTGTTGTCCTCTCTTGCTCTAGTTGCTTGGTAACTACAATGGCTAGTATATTTGTCCAATAAACTGTTTTTTGCATTGCAAACCTTTTTGTCACCTCTGTAACACAATGGAGAAAACTTAAAAATGAGAAAAAAACTTGATTCTGTATAAAAAATGTGCAGTTGAATGTAAATTTGGTTTTGTTGAAAATAATGCGCAGTTGAATTAAATTAAACGTGTTTCTGTTAAAAAGTGCTTAAGGGACATGTTCAATTGCTTATCTTCTGTGGATCAGTCTCTGCCAACTCTTATTATATTCCCTCATATTTTATTTTAGCTATATTTAATATATTTTTGTTATGGCAGCCTGAGTGTTCAATTTTGTTAGATGCACTTGAACAATGTGCTTGTAATCCTGGGATAGCTAATGCTCTTGCTCGGAGCCTGCTTCAAATATTGCAACTTTCCTACGAGAAATCTATTTCTTCGTTCAAGACACTTGATGCAATTCCTCGTGTTCTTAAGATTGCATGCATACAGGCTCATGAATCTAAGAGGCCTGCAGTAGAAAGCCCTCACTTGAATTCAAATCTGGTCAAAATAGGAACTTTTGACCCAGAGATGTCGATTTCTGCCGAGGCATCTCACTCTTGGCACATGAGCATGGCAACTTGCATTGAAATCTTCACAACGTACTTTTCTGTTATAGATGATGCAAAAAGTTCAATGTTGCATAGTCCTGCTTGTGTTGACCGTTTGTTTGATTTATTTTGGGAAGAAGGCCTGAGAAACATCATGCTTTCTTATATTCTTGATCTGATGAAGGTTACTGCCCTTGGTACTTCTATAGTTCTATGTTTCTTATTCTAGTTCAGTGTTTTGTTCTATTTTTGACTTTATTTTGGGCACAGATTATCTCAATATCCGAGGAAGACCACAAGGCAAAACTTTATTTATGTTCGAAGTATTTAGAGACATTCACACATGTAAAGGAACATGAGAACTTTGTAGAATTATCTACTGACTTGCTTGTTGGGATGAAAGATTTGCTCTCAACTGATCAGGAGGTAATTTACCAGAATACCAGCATAGTTGCATGAATTATTTTGCATTCGGTAACATAGATATCCAAACTCTATTTTACATTGGCACATAACATGGTTACTTTCTTGCCAGTACTATCAGGCTTTATTCTGTGATGGCGAGTGTTTCATACATGTGGTCTCTTTGCTCAATGGGAACCTTGATGTGAAAGACGGTGAGAAGCTGGTTCTGAACGTCCTCCAAACACTGACCTGCTTGCTTTCAAGGAATGATTCCTCAAAGGTACCTGTTTGTTCTTTCCTCAAATCTAATTTTTAGATTTCATTTTTTGATTGTTTCATACTCCCGATGGTACTAGCTGCTGAAGTGTTATTTGAATAAAGCAAGTTTGTGCCTTTCCGTTGCTATAGTTTTTTTTAATAGTGCCATCACTCAGCTTCATGGGATCACACAAATAACCCATTTTTCTGCTCAACTGTCACAGTAGTTCTAACCAGTGAAACTTAACATCATTCTACTTCACGTAATAACCATGACCCCGGGCATGTGAATATTTGAAAATTGAAAAAGAGTTAGGCACGACTCTTCATGCTCAAGAACTATCTGTAGCGTGCAGTATTCATGTGTGAGAATCCATGATTTTTAATTGATGACACATGCTCTTCTCCATACCACTTTTTAAGTTATTTGTGATGGCCTGAAGAGCTATTGCTAGCTTATTAATAATTTGTCAGTGATGTATATAGAATGCTATGATTTTACTATATTTGCAATGCATTTTGGCTTTGGCAACCACATCTTTGCAGTTCATGTCTGTATATGCTTGGTATTGTTTGCATACATGGCTTATTCACATTAAGCTTTGCTTTTTGTCATCTGCAGGCTGCATTTAGATCACTTGTCGGTGTGGGCTATCAGACATTACGAAGCATACTGTTGGACTTTTGCCAATGGCAACCAAGTGATGCACTTTTGAATGCCTTACTCGATATGTTGGTCGATGGGAAGTTTGATCCCAAGGCAAGCCCTGTGATTAAAGTGAGTGATGGCTCTTATTTAGATGTATTGACAATGGGATATTAGTCTTCTTTTATAGTTGTTTTGCCAAAAAAAACTTCTCATATGCTATATCTAATCTGTTATACTATTGGATTCAGAATGAAGATGTCATTTTGCTCTATATGAGTGTTCTGCAGAAGGTTAGTAATTTACGATGACGTTTGATGCTTTGACTTTTTCACTGCTCACTTGCAGGCAGTTGAATGTTTATCATTCTAACTCTTACTGCTTAAAGTATCTATTTATTTAGTTTAAATAGTATTGACTCAATTTCTTGCGTTTCATGACTGGGCAGAGCAGTGGGTCGTTGCAGCAATATGGGTTAAATGTTTTTCTTCATCTTCTAAGGGATTCAATATCCAACCGAGCTTCTTGTGTTAGAGCAGAGATGCTTAACTTCCTTCTTGATTGGTTTGCGCTTGAAGACAATGACGGTGTAATCCTGAAAATTGCCCTATTGATTCAGGTCATTGGGGGCCATAGCATTTCAGGGAAGGACATCCGTAAAATATTTGCTCTACTTCGAAGTGACAAAGTTGGATCTCATAAGCAATATTGTTCATTGCTATTAACCAGTGTGTTGTCAATGCTAAATGAGAAAGGTCCAACTGCCTTTTTTGATCTTAATGGCGTGGACTCTGTAAGTTCAAATTGCCCCATCATAGCAAACATATATTATTTCATTTGGTTGCTTTTCTCATTCTTTGTGTGAAGTACTGAGTGTTATTGAGAACAACAAGCTATTCCTCTTTCTCTTTTATTTCTTGTTTTATTTTGCGACTTCCACTTTGCACATTTTGTTTGACTGTATATCATGCTATCTTCCCAATGCTTCTTTCGTTATCATCTTAATATGTCTCCTGCAGGGAATATCAATAAAAACCCCAGTTCAGTGTCCTTTGAGTAAAGGATTTTCCTTCACTTGTTGGCTAAGGGTAGAAAGCTTTCCCACAAGTGGGACTATGGGACTTTTCAATTTTCTCACCGAAAGTGGAAGAGGATGCATTGCTGTCCTCAGAAAGGACAGGTTAACCTATGAGGTAAAATGTATATCTATAAACCTTTCACCACACCCCACCTTTTTAAAAAAATCTAAACCTACTATTTTCCCCTCACATTTTCCATTTCTCGCTCCATCTTGTCTTTTCTCGCCTTACCTTTTTAATTCTCATTCATCCTTTTCTTCTCTCTCCCTACCTTCTCTTAAAGTCCACACAAGCACAAACATGAGTATTATTATGAAACAGGGGGAGCATATCACATGTTTCTCTCTTACTATCTCTTGATAGTTTCAACAATTAATAGTTTTTATAATCTCTTGCAGTCAATAAATCAGAAGCGACAGTGTGTCTCTCTTCATGTGAACATCGCTACGAAAAAGTGGCATTTTTTGTGTATCACCCATACCATTGGTAGGGCGTTTTCTGGGGGCAGCCAATTAAAATGTTATTTGGATGGAGTTCTTGTGTCATCTGAGAAATGCAGGTTTTTTTATTATTCTTGATTCCTTTTTGTTGGGTTCTAAGCTCTTTAAAAAATCATAGGAGAGAGTATTGGATATTTTGCACTTATTTCTTTTTAAGTTTGACATGGACTTTTTGTCTAAATGCAGATATGCAAAAATCAACGAGCATTTGACTTATTGCACCATTGGCACAAAATTATCTTTTCCTTATTGCGAGGAGAATTCTATGCTCTCGATCAAAGATTCATCCCCATTTTTTGGCCAGATTGGTCCAGTTTACCTGTTCAATGATTCCATTACTTCTGAACAAGTGAAACTTGTTTATTCCCTAGGGCCAAGCTACATGTACTCCTTCCTTGACAGTGAAGTTGCAATTGGTGTGGGAAATCCATATAGCAATGGAGTCCTTGATGTGAAGGATGGCCTTTCATCCAAAATTATCTTTGGGCTTAATGCACAGGTTCTCTCTCTGCTTTTAGAAATATGACACTTCAAATTACTCCGGTATATTTCTCTTGTCTGTCACTTACCTTTTCCTTATCAGGCAAGTAAAGGTAGGATGCTGTTAAATGTTTCACCAACCTTGGATGTTGGGGCAGATAAGAGTCCGTTTGAAGCAATTGTGTCTTCTGGGACACAACTATGTTCTCGTCGGTTGCTACAACAGATTATATACTGTGTAGGTGGGGTATCAGTTTTCTTTCCTCTGTTCACACAGACTGAGCTGTATGAAGATGAAGACAATCAGCCAGTGTGTCAGACATTGCTAACTCCGGTTACAAGAGAACGTTTGACTGCTGAAGTTATTGAGCTTATAGCTTCTGTTTTAGATGACAATTTAGCCAATCAACAACAGATGCTTCTACTCTCCGGATTCTCAATATTGGGGTTTTTACTTCAATCTGTTCCGCCTCAACAGCTCAATTTGGAAACACTTTCGGCTCTAAAACATTTATTGAATGTGGTTTCAAATAGTGGTGCGTTGCTTGATTTCAGTTTTGTATGTTAAGTTTTTAATTTTATGATCGTTTTGTTATTCTCATGCTTTCTTTGCTGATGTTCTGTTCTGCTTTTGAACAATCTATTATTTGTTGCAGGCTTGTCAGATATGCTTGTGAAGGATGCTATATCAAATATATTACTTAATCCACTTATCTGGGTGCACTCAGTTTACAAGGTGCAGCGTGAGCTATATATGTTTCTTTTTCAGCAGTTCGATAATGATCCAAGGTTGCTAACAAGTCTATGTAGGCTCCCTCGTGTTCTTGATATAATACAACAGTTTTACTGCAATGATGTAAAAAAGAGTTCTGCTTTTGGAAACAAACCGCTTCTAGCTTTACCACGGTCAGTTATAGCAGAAAGACCCACCAAAGATGAAATACACAAAATTCGTCTCCTTTTATTGAGCCTTGGCGAGATGAGTCTCAGGTAAAATAATTTTCTTTCTTTTATTAAAAGGGAGTTATGCTTTTCTTTAATCTATTTTACCCAATTGCAATCCTTTTCATGGTTCAGTTGATCATTTTAATTGCTTGTTCTCTCTTTGAAATGTGTTTGACTGTGCAGGGAGCATATTTCAGTATCAGATATAAATGCTCTTATCACATTTTTTGAGGGCAGTCAGGACATGTCATGCATTGAAGATGTTCTACATATGATTATTCGTGGTGTATCACAAAAGCCACTTCTTGCTTCATTTCTGGAGCAGGTCAATTTGATTGGTGGATGTCACATTTTTGTCAATCTTCTCCAAAGGTATTTCTTCTATTTGCCATTTACCATTTGCCTTTTTCTTCAAATGCTCTTGCTATAATCCTTAGAGTTGGTTGAACTTGTCAGATATTTAGCACTGAAGACTAAGTAGCAGAAGCTCCTCTCTCTCTCTCTCAACTTTGATCCTGCCTTTGTATTTTTTTCCTTTTGGCTAATGTCCATTCTGGAATTTCTCCTTTCACATCTTATCTATGCATCTCATACTTAAGAATGAAATTGTGCATTTATCTTGGAAAGCAAACAAAAACAAAGCTTTATCCCACTAGGTGGGGTCGGCTACATGGATCAAATGACGCCATTGCGCCCTATCGTGTATCATATCTGCTGTGAGATTGTTCACGTGAAGGTCTCCCTTGATCAATGCTTGCCAAGTCCTCTTAGGTCTACCTCTTCCTCCAGCCACATGCATAGTCACCATTTGATCAACCCTTCTCACGGGATGCTCTATTGGTCTTCTCTCCACATGTCCAAACCACCTAAGGCGGGTTTCCACTATTTTTCCTACAATTAGCTTAAACACATATTCCCATGTCACTAGGAGACTGTAATTTTTCATCTTTGATTTAGAAGTTTTTTTTGCTTTGAATACTTCTAAGGATCACACAAAATAGATCATACTCCACTGTCCCAATTTTTGAGGCATGTTTTTCTTTTTGGTCCGGGGAGGGCGAGTCATGAGTGTATTTCATCTTTGCTACTCGAAGCTTCTAAATGAGAGTGTTCTTCACCGCCAGCACTTTGCCCTCTACAACATAGCCGGTCTGACCACCCCTATAAAACATGTCTTTTAGCTTCATTGATATCCTCTTGTCACATGACTCACATAGGACACCTGAAGCAATCTTCCACTTCATCCAATCCGCTTTAATACGATTAACAACATCCCCATAGATCTCCCCATCAGCCTGAATGATGGATCCAAGTTATTAAAACTTATCCCCTTTAGGGACAAAAGTTAAACTTATAAGAACAACTCAGTAAGGTTCCACAATCGGGGTGGGTGAGGATAGGTGTGTACAAACCTTACCCTTATAAAGGTAGTGATGTTGTTTATGGACCCTCATCTCAAGAAAACATTTAATGGGTTAGAGCAATCAAATACAAATATGAACAGTAGGGTAAAATAACCAGTTTAAAAAAAGAAAGGGTAAAAACATGCACACACACAAATAAACAAACCTCTACAAGGGCCTAGATATGCACTCATCTACAACTAACACCCCTTATAACTCGATACTCAAGTTATGCTCTGTCGCGTAAAGAAGTTATCTATATGATTTCACAGAGTTTTAGAGAAGTGTTGAAACATGAAAAGTGAGTAGTTGGAACTTGTTTGATAGATAGAGAAATGTTGTGAGCCACTTAAAAGGAAAAAAGTAGCAGTGTGAACTTTTTTTGGGACATCCAGAAACAAAAAGTAAATAGAAGCTGGAGGGAAAAAAGTTTGACCTCCAAATTAAAGAGATCCAATTTTATGGGATGGAGGGAGCATTACCTTACAACTTAAACATTTGACCTCCAAATTTTATACATTAAATTGGCAATAACTTGGGGAAAAAAGTAAATAAAAGCTGGATGGATGTGTTGGAGTCCGCAACACCTTCACAATTCTGGACTGTGGTAGGTTGTGAAGGAATAGAGTTGCGAGTTCTTCAGTTCTCCATATTCCCTATAAAAGAGTCAAAAGATCCATTAGTTTTTCCGTTACCACCATTGCTGATCTCCTAATCCACCCCCACTATATGTGCTTCTGTGTATTTGCACCTGAATGTATCAGCATGACAGCATTTGCAATGTTTTTTTCTCTACTCTTTTACTTCTTGCAGGGATTTTGAGCCTATCAGATTGCTCAGTTTACAGTTCCTTGGTAGACTGCTCGTTGGTCTTCCATCAGAGAAGAAAGGATCAAAGTTTTTTAGTATTTCCGTAGGAAAGCCTAAATATATTTTAGACAGCCACAAGAAAGGCACATCAAGGATGCAACCCATTTTCTCAATAATGTCAGACCACCTGTTCAAGTTTCCTCAGACGGATCTTTTGTGTGCAACATTGTTTGATGTTCTTCTTGGAGGTGCAAGCCCTAAACAGGTGGTAATTTAAAATTTTCATTTCTCGTGTTTTAAATCAAAGATCCTTTCAAGGAAGAGGCTACGTCTACATGAATACTCACAATCTTTAGTTTTGCTTTCTAATGTAAATTTACCATGTTTTGGCTTTTATCACTCATTCATATAATCGTATGTGAGTATTCATTGAATAGTGAATTTGCATGCTGCAAGACTCATAGATGCAAATAATTTTGTTTCACAGGTTCTACAAAAGCATAACCAACCTGACCGTCCCAGGAGTAACTCACAATTCTTTCTTCCTCAAATCTTAGCCCTCATTTTCAGATTTTTGGCAAATTGTGATGATGGTACAACAAGAATTAAAATCATTAGCGATTTACTTGATCTTCTGGATTCAAATCCTTCAAACATAGAAGCTCTAATGGTATAGATATTATCCGACAGATCACGGAAACTGCTGCTTTTGATATATTATTTACTCAATTTTGTATAATCAATTTAAACATCAAAGCTCCAATGGTATACTTATTATAGGAGCATGGTTGGAACACGTGGCTGGATTCTTCTTTGAGGCTGAAGGCATTGAGGAACTACAAACTAAAGACACATACTCACAGTGGCTTTGAGATCAGTGAACAAAACTTTATTAGGAGTTTGTATTGTGTTGTCCTTTGCCATTGCATGCATTCTGTCAAGGGAGGCTGGCAACACTTAGAGGAGACTGTGAATTTTATACTTCTTCATTGTGAACAAGTATGCTTTTAACTCTTCTGAATAACATGGAGTAACTTGCCACAACTTGCTTTTGGAATAATGTACTTGTCTTGTTTCTTTAGGGTTGCCTCTCGTATCAGTATTTCCTTCGGGATCTCTATGAGGACTTAATCCAGAAACTGTTGAATTTTTCTGATGCGGAAAATACACTTGTGACACAGCCTTGCCGGGACAATATGTCGTATCTTCTGAAACTAGTTGATGAGAAGCTTCTCTCAGAAATAAAATTTAAACTTCCGGTATACTACTATGCTAAAATTATGTGGCTTGTATTATTTAGTCTAGTTACTTAACATATTTCCGTTTGATAGAATTTAGGACGGGGAAAGGGTTACTGGACTGGGCCATAAGACACTTGAGTTGAACCACATTAAAAGATTGAACCCAATCGATTAGTTAATTCAACTCAAGAGCCTATATACCAATTATTTTACTCTTGGATTTCCAATGTGGGATAATCTCTAACACTCCCCCTCTAGTGGACAACCGAGCCTTTTTAATCTTACCGGTTGACCACTTGTAAATAGAATCCCATCCACGTTAAATAAATATTTGAGCGGCAACACATAAAGGATCCCGGGGCGCTGGGTATGGACTTCCAGATGAACAATCGGGTTAAATGGGCCACAGGCCGTTCGGTATATGTATACGGACAATTGGGCTAAAGACAAATGGGCCGCTAGGAAGGAATTTCTAGACGGACATCTTGACAAACGATGTGGGCCAAAACCTGCTTCGATACCATGATAAAATTTAGGATGGGGAAAGGGTTACTGGACTGGGCCATAGGACACTTGAGTTGAACCACATTAAAAGATTGAACCCAATCGATTAGTTAGTTCAACTCAAGAGCTTATATACCGATTATTTTACTCTTGGATTTCCAATGTAAGATAATCTCTAACACCGTTTTTCTGGTTTTTACTCATCCATTGATTGGGCCGATAACAAAGAGCATACCTTGAGTTGGATTATTTATATTATATGCCCTGACAGATGCAGGGTGCAGTTGGTCTATTATATATTGCGGGGGG